TAAAATAAAAAGGAAATAATGAAATAGATACAAGAAATATATATACAAAACCATATCAAGCTGCCAGGGAGATGTCACCAGCAGGCACTAGGAAAGTTCCAGTGGTCTCAGACCAATGGGAACTGGATTCCAGGACACTCTGATGGGGATGGAAGGTAGATGAACTCACAGGGTCCTCTTCACCAAAGAAGAGCCAAAGAGGAGAAGCAGAGACAACCCAACCCCTTTGCTCCCTCAGCTTTTACACTGAACATGGCACATGGGGTGGAACACTCTATTGGTCAGTCCATGTCCATGTCTCCCCACAGGTGTGATCCCTCCATGGGGTAAAGAACCAAGTTGCCGTGGCAATAAGCATAAGCAAGAGCTTCTCTCACAGAACAGAAAGTTGTCTCTGCTCCACCCCAAATATTGGTCAGTCCGTGTCCATGTCTCCCCACAGGTGTGACCCCTCCATGGGGTAAGGAACTGAGTTGCCATGGCAATAAGCATAAGCAAGAGCTTCTCTTACAGAACAGAAAGTTGTCTCTGCTCTACCCCAAACCAGGACATTTATCAATTTTAAAAAATCTGTGATTAGCACAATTTTATTTGTAATTAGCAGGGATGAGTTGTTTGCTTTAATGCAAATGGAAATTTAGTAGCAATGGAAGTGCCCCCGCTCTTTTGTTTATAATTTCTTTCACTGCCTCTTTACGCTTAGTTTCAAGGTGAGATCAGTATCTGGAAACATGATGCAATTTATGCTGTTATCATTTCATGAACTTCAGCAAATCTACTCCCGATAATGTATTGTAATTATACTGATGATCAGAACTGGATTGGAAAATGCACGAAGGCTGGCGTCAACCGCCACTGTGTGTCTGACGGGGTCAGAAAATGAAAACAGCAGTTACTGGCATTTATTGTCAGAGGAGCTCCAGCTCCGGCCTGCAGACAGACACGGACTGCAAAAATTAAACAGCTATTCATATATACACCTAATTTCTGCAGATTTTGAGTCTCGCAACCTAACGTGTTATGCTTGTTACAATTTGCTTGTTCCAACGGTACCTCTTTAAGAGAAGCTTCCCTACTTTACAGCCAAATGCAGCGCTCCCTGCTGTGATGGATTCCTTCTTTTCCCTTCCTAATTGGAGCCATTTCATCAGATCGAATTTTGACAAAGATAGTAATTGTCATCCAATTTTAAGGCAATGACAAGATCAATATGAATTCTCAGATGACAAGTATTATTACTGGGTGAGCACAAAGACACAAAGAAAATGAAAAATCCATGTTCTAGGGATCAAAACAGTTAGAGGCACATGCTTGCCTTGATCCACGTGTGTGTGAATCCTGTTGACAACAATAGACGCTGTGCATGTGGATGGATGGGGTAGAACAGATGGCCTTTGCCAGTCAAATAGCGAAGGAAAACGAGCACCCAGTGCTTTAGTACATTGCAGTTTCGGTAATGTGGGAGTCAATTAACTTCCCACCAAACAGGCATTGCAGGGAAAATTACCCGCAGCCCCATCTCGGAGAATTCTGCTTCTCCTTAACGTTTTGTACTCCTCCGGTTTCCTGAATGTCGGGAGTAAATACCCAAGAAAACCACAGTTCTTTAAGGTAAGCATCTCCAACATATATTTATGTAGGCAGAAGGATTTGATTATTTTTATAACATTGTTTAAATGAGATGATCTGATTAGCTAATGGCCCAAAGAGTTCAGATTGGGTTCAAATAAGGATCTAAAATGTGTTACAGCATCTTTAGATGTTTTCCCCTCATTAGTGGTTTTGGGACAGATTCTGCCATGTACGTGTAGCTGTTGCCAGATACTGTCATTTTATTTTAGCAGTTTTACCCTGCAGTGAGACACTTCTTCAAGGCATTTGACCCTCAGAGCTCAGCTCTTGTTCTGCATTTGGTACTTAGTGTGCATTCAGGTTACCTCTGTAGGGCCGCTCTGCCCACATTCATCTTGTTATTAAACCAGACCTCCTGCCTTCCCACCCCCAAAATGTTAAATCCAAGGAAACAGACACTTTTTTTTTCTTTTTTCTTTTTCTTTTTCTTTTGCAGTATTTATATTCAAAATACAGTTTAACTGAGGAAAGGGATTTTGGCAAAATAATACATGGTTGTCGTACTAATTGGCAGCTGCAATGATAACAACCATGACAAGTTTTAGCTCTGTCCACTTCAGCCCAGCCAAGTCATTAAAGGTTTCCAAGCAGAGGATTGTGTTACGAAGCCTAATACACACTGGTAGTAGCTCCATTGGTATCCCTGAGTTGCTCAACGCATTTTTAACCACCCCAACGCAGATTCAGTAGGATTTTCATCCATGGAGGAAGGTCTCAGCCAAGCACTGAAAAGACGTTTGTTAGCCTGCAAAATATAAATAAAATATTTACAAAGGGAATAATTGACTTTTGATGTTTACTTCGGGCTATGGTTAAGCAGGCAGTGTCTGTACTAAGCAATGCAGTGACCACCTGCCACAAATGCTGTGATATTTGACAGATCCCTTTCTGCCAAGAACTATAATTCCTATTTAAATCTAAATGGAGGAGCCATGAATGCAGATTTCTCATCACAAAGACACTGATGTTAATCCCCGGTACAGAAAAATAAGAAAAGCCAGAACGTTTTATTGGATTTTATATGGAAGATAATTAAACAGTATTTCTTCTTTACTTGTTATACGGCATCCCATCTACATTCCTGCTGAAATTTGTTTATAAAGAAAGCCAGAAAGTTTTATTACATTTTTATGTAAAAGAAAATTAGCATTTTGTATATTTGAACTTACATTAGAATAACAAAAAGCAGGTAAACAAAAAATGACCAAAGAATGATAAAAATAAACAGAAAAAAAAAAGTAAGGAAAGCCTCACACTGTTCTCATACATGCAATTTTATATTCTAAGCATGCAAACAAAATAAATGTTTATGTGCATATGTATGCATTGTATATATTCCTGTACCAAGCCATTCTGAAAAGCTATGCTCCCAAAAGTTAGGAAATGCTAGAATTAGATGTGCTCACACACCCTTAATTTGGCCTTTTTGATTGTATACACACGGCCGTGTGCTATTCCCCCCCCCCAACCCCCACGCACACCCCGTACAAAATGGTGCAGTGTAGGCAGAAAATTGGCTGGGAGAATGATGTCATCTCTGCGAGAGCTGCTTTGCAGAAGCAGCCTGTTTCTTTTCTGCCCACAGCCCAGTTTGGTGTTTTGGATGTACCCAAGGAAGTTCTGGTAGCATGTTTCCCAGCAGGTGGGTGCTGCCAGTCCCAGCCTGTGGGGGAACGTGTCTCGGGGTGCATTTAAAGCCTCCTTATTAATAGAGGGGGGGGGACAGGGGGGGAGCTGTATCCAAGGTTGCATCCTCGGCATTTAAAAACGTTTCAGTTCAGCTTGTGCTGCCACTTACTGCATTATGCGATGCGTGTGGATTTTCCAAACAAAAGATGTTTATGAGGAGAGTATATTTTAAGATCCTTTTCATGACTGTACAGACCCCTCTCCGAGCAGATGGCCTGACAGTTGCAAGAAAACTATTCACAAGCCAAAAGTAGCATTTAGAATTCTTTCAGAAAGACAGTTTGTTCTGGTTATACATGTACGTTTTAAGCAGGTACTAATTCTGTTCTCAGCAGCACCTTCCCGGGCTGTGACAGCAGAAAGGGAAGCTGCAGCCTCCAGCAGCACGTCGCATCAGCGCCCGCATCCCCTCGCTCCCGGGCTACTTCCAGCACTTCTTGGCACCCAGGGGACCAGTAAAACTCAGATTGCCCTCACTTCTAACTTGGAGTAAGGTTGGAGGTACCACCGTTTCTCTTTTATACTCCAAATAAGCTGTATCCACGGTGAAAATGTTTACTTGGTGTTTACAAGCTTATAGAAAGAAGCAGGACTAGCAAAGAACTTTACAAGGACATGAATATATTTAATTCCGTTTCTACTCACAGCCTTGACTGTTACCTAGCTGTAGCTGAAGTTCATTGGGGAAAATAAGCAGCTGAGAACAAAATAACTGAACCTGAGCCACTTGACCATTACCAAGTTTACGTATTCTGGGAGAAATCTGTTGGCAATGACTTCATACAGCTGCATTTACTGACCCTTTTAATTGCCTTCTACAGAACCCTCCCGCTTGAAGGAAGCAAGCTCTCCCATATCATGCACTCGATAAATAAGTAATGCCGTCCCTCTGGAGAGAAAAATTCCATCTCTAACCAATCTAAGCACAAGGACAGGGACTAACCTAAATATCCTTACGGTTTGGGGGGATTGTTTGGTTTTGCTTTTCCTTCACCGAGGTAACTGAGGTTTATTGTTTATAGCATCTAATACGTTTAGAAACATTTCTGAAAAATTTGCCTAATATCCTGCAGCAATGAGTTGCAGGGTTGATTATACACTGCACAAATGTTTTCAGAATTTTTCCTTCACCTTTCCATGCATATTTGTTCTTGAGAGAAAACAGAATAAATAGCCCCTTCTCCCTGCTTCTGTTATATCATCTTTTACTCCTGTGTTTTGCAAACTAAACAATGCTGGTCTTTTTAATCACCTTTTAGATGGAAGACTCTTTCCTCATGTGTTTAATCATTTTTGCTGCACTTTTTTTTATTGCAGAAGTACATACATATGAGCGTACACACCCCTGGAGCAATCAAAAAGTCTGCTAAGATCAGGTTTTAAGGCTTAGCAGAGGTTTGCTCTTTACTCCCAAAACAATCCCTGCTCATCTCATTCTAAATTCACTTTAAGAAACAGGGTCCCTGGGTGCAGGCGCTGAGATGTGCGTGCAGATGTGCAAGTTTAAAAGTGAGGGATGGGACCACGAGGGCAGGAAGGCTTCATCTGGCATTCAGCAGCGTGGTCACCAGGCCAGCCCTGACTTGCTGCAGAAATGAAGCCAGCGACTGGTTCGGGGTAAAAAATTGCTTCTTCTGTGTGAGGATGAGCTTTCTTAAGCCTCTACCTTTCAGACATGACAATTTGTAGATGATGCTCTGTTTCATCTTCCAGGGGCTCACCTTTACTCCAGCTTGCCTTTGTCCTTCACTGGCACTTTGCAGCACAGCAATCTCTCTTTGAACGGTGATAGCAAGTTCAGGTCTGGTGCAGCTCTGCTCAGCCCAAAACCGAGCGGGAAGGAGAAATGAGAAGCTGGTGAAAGGCCTCACGGACAAACGTACTCTCCAGGTGGGACCAGCCTCCTCATGGAGGTGCAGTCAAGGCAGTTGTTATTTCTCTTTCGGCTGTCTTTTGTTTTCTGTCCTACAGAAGATTTTCACTCACTGCTTTCTGGATCCAGAATGCTCTGTGTATTATAAAGGCCAAAACTTCTGGGGGAACCTAGCACACACTCCATCAAGGGCAATGGTCTAAGTGTACTTAGATTAGCTGAAGACCAGGCCCAAAAATGTTTTTGGTAGGATTCCCCCAATCTGCTTTTAGCCTTCTGAAGCCTATCTAGTCTGGGCTTATTTCTTAATCTTCTCCTGTAGTCAACAGGGAGAGGAGTTGATTCATCCCAGCATAAAATAGAGGTCTGAGACAGAAGGGATGGCTTCCTGCCCTAAAATTACCTCCCCTTCCTTTGGCACAAAATTGTTTAGGTGATAGAATCATAGCATCATAGAATTGTTATGGATGGAAGAGACCTTTAAGATCATCAAGTCCAATTGTTAACCTGGCACTGCAAAATTCACCACTAAACCATGTCCCTTAGCACTACATCTGCATGATTTTAAATAACTTCAGGGATCGTGACTCATCCACTTCCCTGGGCAGCCTGTTCCAATGCTCGACTACCTTTTTGGAGAATTTTTTTTCCTATTATCCGTCCTAAACCTCCCCTGGTGCAACTTGAGGCCTTTTCCTCTTGTCCCATTGCCTGTTCTTTGGGAGAAGAGACTGACCCTCCCCGGCTACATCCTCCTTTCAGGGAGTTGGAGAGAGCAAGAAGGAAAGAGTGATTATGGCCAATGCTGTTACAAACCTATTGCCAACCGTGCTACACCAGTCAGCAGTTAGATTTAGATTTACAATGGTTACTAAATAAACTTTGCATTATTAGTGTTTGGGGGAGAGGAGGGTATTTTTTTCCCCTCATCTTTAAACCTCTTTAAATATTTAACTTAGTGTTTGGGAGAGAGGAGGGTATTTTTTTTCCCCTCATCTTTAAACCTCTTTAAAAAAAAAAAAGAAGTTAAGGCACTGAACTTAAAATCAAATCAACTATATCTTGTCCTTGGAAAGTTCTTTGTTAATCCTGTTTGTATTTTTTAAATGCTATGCAAACATTTTCATTGTGGATTAATGTGCTGTTTCAAAGCAGTTGAGATTTTAAGATTGTCGTTAATTTAGAGAAAGAGACTTCTGTTACTATTCCAGTTCTTTGGGAAACTAATTTCATTCAGTGCCCTTTTTGAGGCTTTGCACTAGAGTGCTAAACGAATACTATCAAAGACCATATTAAAGAGGATTGTATATAGTTGACCAGGGTTCATACCAGAGACTAGTTTTAGATAGTGTCTTACATTGAAAATATGATTCTTCAATTATACCTCCCATTGCAAAAATGAAATTACCTTGAATGCTTAGTCTAGTAGGCTTATTTCTTAGAATACAATAGTAAATGGTCAAATTCTCCCTCACAGTAAAACATATCTGATTAAAAAATGAAAGGGGGAGAGAGAGAAAAATGTGAAAAGCAGAGTCAGTCGTAAGAGCCCTGAGATCAGTAAAAGGACAGTTTATACAAAGACTCTTCATTTGAGTAGCCCCAGTAATTCCAGAACTGTCTGAACGCTTCAAGTAGGAGTGTCTAAAGTGCCTGATGTTCCGCCAGCTGATTCAGGACACTGCAAAGAGGGGTCAGAGGGCCAGAGTGAATATGCAGAAGCTCTTAAACACATTCACACTGTTCACAGATAGTAATCAAAGTGATTTGCAAATACATCTTCTTAGCAAAACTTCACATCTTTGAGATCACAATCATAAAAAATAATTGATACAATTAGGGGACTGAAGCTACGTTTGGTGTGACTGCAGCAATTCACATTTATTACATTTCTAAGTGTTTTCTTGTCTGCTTTCCCAACTCATAATGTACATCTGATTTATTTGGAGAATAATACTGATTTGCAGCCCTTCCCTGTTCCTTTTTCGTCTTATGATCTGTGAAGACATTTCAGGTGTGACTTCACCATGCAGAGGGTGACTTCTCTGGGGACACACCAGGCCTTGGCCCCAAGGCTCTGCCTGGCGATGCTGGCACCTTGGTCTTGGAGCTTATTGAATTGAGTGCCTACTGCTGCTGAATACACACAGAACCTCAAGGCTACCTACTGTGGTGTTTCTACACGGTCTGTTTTTCTAATTCCAGGATTACAGTGCTTAAAGGCACATAAGGATGATGAACAAGAGGAAAGGATCTTATGTCCTTACATCCACAGGGAGTTTTGTGCCTCTGTCCTGTTGGCATTAGTCATGTAAGCCTCTCATTCATGTACCTTGGGAAGACTGATTTGCTCAGCCTTTGGTGTTTTCATCTGTTTTTGATGTGCTAGCTGAGCTAACTCAATGATTGCTTATGTGTATGAGAATTAATTATGAATTTTGACTATATAAAGCAATCTTGTGGACTCATGCTTCATTAGTATTCTGATCAGTTAGCCACTGCAACGCTAACTGACTTAATTTGCACTGCAGATACTCTAGTGAGAAGGCAGTGGACATTTGTGTGGAAAATGGGATGCAGAGTTTCACCAACTCCTTGCCTTAAATTCTTAGCATCCTCCTCTTACCTGGGTAGCGTATGAAGAGGGAACAGAGCACAAGACTAGGCATTGTCTTCCCTCCTGAAAACTTGTTTTACAACAGAGAATCTTTTGGTTTACTTTACCAGAGAAAACAAGCTACTCAACCTGCAATGGTCTAGTTTGCTGGGCAGGGACATGCACCTTCAAACTCTAGTGCTCTCACTTTCTTCAGTCATAGTAAAATGTTCCAAGAGCTATTGTTGAAAAGCATAATGCAAGATTGAAGTGGTTATTTTTTTTTCTTTTATTTTAACCACTCTCTTTCATATCTTATTTGTAAAATAGTTAAAATGATTTTTTTTTGCAATATACAAAGCATTTTGAGACCCTGACCCACCACCTGCTAGAATTTTATTGTTTGCTAGAAAGGAATCATTTTTGTTTTCAAAAAAAGCTCTGAAGAGGACAAAGAAACATTTCTATATTGTATGTGTTGGTAAGAAGGATTAGACAGGCTGTAATCTTGGTCAGTCTGACTTCTTCAATTATGGAAAATTACAAAGATTGATGTTAGTTGCAATTTATCTTATTGCACAACCTTGTACAGGATGAATCTTCTCTTTTGAAATACATATTTCACCAAAGCTAGCATATGTATGAAGTGATTTCTTTTTCTTTGTCTTCCCCATCAGATTGATAATAGGCTGTGTAGGAAAGTGCTGAAAAACACAAAAATAAAAAGTTGGAGCAATTCGAATTGTCATGGCAATATCCTAGATTTTTCAGGAAGTTCCGTTCTGTTTAGCTAGTCACTTTAATTTTCCTTCGCTAACTTGTCTCCATTCTCTGCCATAATGATAATTCTTTATATGACTGTCAGCCCTTTGCATTGTGACAGCTTAAATTAATGTTTTGATATTTCTCTCTTTGTAAGAATACAACAAAGAAGACAACTGCCAAGGATAGGACAGAAACTGTATGAATGTAAAACAGACACTGTGCACCAATAAAGCCAGGAGGAGTAATTTTCATTTTATTGCCTTGTTAATAAGCTTTTGCAACAACAAATCTTGAAGGCTTTGGGTTCTATAGGCTAGTGTGGCCCTTCTGCTTCATCTGGATTGCGGTGAACTTCTTACTGGGGACCTTGGAGGCTTCTGGGAATACTTCAGCCCGTTTAGGTCAGGAAGGTTTAATACCTAAAGCAGGCTCATTCAGCCTCTAGTACTACACTAACCGTACGTGTAAGCTGTGGTGGATTAACTTGTTTTACAATCAAAATCATAATAGCACTTGATCACAGCTGAAACATCTCGTTTTTACATACCATCTCTCCAAAAGTTAAGAGGATCAACAGTAAGAATTCCAGAAGGAAGATGCAGGAGGAGTTGGAAGGATTTGATTTGGCACTTACAAAAGCAGCGGTGGAAAGGAATTGTCTTAAGATTTTGCTGAGTTTTACACCAGCCCTTATCTAAGGTTCAAGGCCTTTAGCAGCTTCATTCCCGTTCTTAATGTATGCTTCGAAAATCCCAACCACATCTGGCATTGCCTTAAATGAAGCTTGACTTCAATCAGGATGGTGTTTTTCAATGTGCTTTAAAAAACCCTTTTAAAAAGATCTGAGATATTCAGATGCAGTTTAATGTTTCAGTATAGCTGAGGATTTCATTACTACTTCCTCTCATTTTTATTATTTTCCATCTGTTTTTCCTCTCACACATTCCTTCAGGACCTGGCCTCACCTGAGAGATGAGAAATTCAAATGAAAGTAGAACAAAAAAAAAAAATCAATTAATCCATTCTTTGTGGCAGAAGCCACCAGATGATGCTGTTACCCTTACAGCTTCTTAGCATGTGAGCAAGATTTCAGTTTTTGAAGGAATGCTGCATTGTTATTAGTTTAGTTTTACAGTAATCCTCTGAGAGAAGCTAGCAGCAGAGTGTGTTTTCTGCTTTATTCTCTGTATTAGGATGCAGTTCTTGGGACAAATTACTTTCCTTGAGTTAAATTTCAGTGCCCAGCTGGAAAGGAGCACTGGAAGTGGTAAGAACTTTTGCGATGACTGCAGATACCACTGGTACGGGGGAGGGAAGCATAAGGAAAATGTTTCGCTGAGGAGAAGGTCCACGTTACCTTGTTTTCCATCAACAGATTGGTACCAAACTCCCAAATTCTGTTCTGTAGGAAAAGGAGTGATAGTTGTCACCGGCAGAAGACACTGAAGAAGCAAAGGACACTTGCTTATATAAAGAAAGCCATAAGGCAAGCACTGTTTGGACCACAAGCCATCCTTTTGACCCACACCTCTCCCTCTTTAACAGGGAGCTGGTCCCAGAGAGCTTCAAAGAATAGATCAAAAGTGTGAGACGTACTATTTATCTTAATGGCCCACAAGTGCTGAGAGCTAGGGATGAAAAATTTAACATCGGATT